AAATCGAAATTAAAAAATAAAAAGAGGAGTCCAAGCTCAAGACAATCCCGTAAAAGCCGACCGACTCGAAAACAACAAATGTAACCAGGAAACTCGAGACCCGAAGCCGCGAGCAGAAAGGTATTCGGCTGTGGTAGGTTGGCGCGGCGGGCGACAATTGCCCCGCCCCGAACATGATATCATACCGAAAGGGAAACCCAGTCTAAACCCCTTCCGGCGGAAATAGATACTATTGCTTCATCGGGTAAACGCAACATGAACGGAAGTTGACCCTCTCCATCCGAACTGACTCAACTCTCATCTCGGTTACATTCGCTCTGATGATCGCGATCATTACACCCTTCCGGCATTGCCGAACTCCTCCGGGCTGATCTTTTTGACTTTTCCTGACTCTTACTTCAAGTCGATCAGGAGCGCCCTTGCTTGAATACGGGAACGCGCCACGCGGGTTCGAATCTCTCTACCGTACCACGTGTGCCTTCTCTGTACGACGTCAATGGCATGTAAGGGATTTTGGTTGTCATCCCTTGCGATGAGAACTTGGGGGCCGGTTGGAGATGATGCGTATAGTTGGGTTCGTCGGGCAGAATAGACTTTGTCTTTTCCTCTTGGGGGAAATCTTATGATCTACGTATCATTGTTGGGGAGAAATGAGACTTTTTAATTCGAATACGAATATACGGTACATACTTGCAGCCTGCAGGCGGCTTTTAATCCCTCATTATGCATGATAGTGCTCCGATTGGAGTCGTCAAAGAAAATACAAGCAAATGCAATGAATATGCTTTCGGAATTGCCGTCCTTGGCTTAGCAGACCTGTGCACAGTGCTTACAGGGATTGTGCCGATTCGTGGGCATATACTTTCGAGCAAAGTACGACGCGAAATAAATTTATACTTTTTATGTTACTTCCAGAAAGAAAAGAGCAGGGTGAAATGAGAGGATTCCTCTAAATATATGTTCTATCGTTCATAAATATACATAGACACATTGATGCTAAAAAAGGCGACATGACTATAAACAAAAGACGGGTATCTGTACAGGGTGATCCGTTCACCGGCAGGGATGGCTTCGGCTAACCCATGGCGGCTGTGTATGGCTTGTATTTCAAGGCCATAAAGAGGGGGTGCAGGCGGCATTTGAAACTATTACGTAAAATTAATCACGCCTTTGCAATCCCCCTCATCCTCATGTCATGATGTTTCTGCCGACAGGCAGAGAAATGAAGATCCACAACGCGGTTTGATAATACCAAGCTACTGGTTTTATCATTGGATTAGCCACTTTGCCCGCCTGCAGTGAGACGGCAAGGGGTAACAGCTAGCTAAAAGTCAAAGTTTAGGCTGGGGGACTGCATGAGAAGACGCCTCTAACGCTGCCTTCGCGGTAGTTGATGATCTGGCAAGACAGTATGAGCATTTGAGTTTAGATGGAAGAGAGGAGAAGCCAAAACTTACAATATCATCAATACTGGAGTAGGTGCCACCGACAAGCGTGACAAGACCGATGAGCAACACGAACAGGTTGATAGCACCCAGCATCAGGTTCTTGGGCTCATTCCATTTGCCCTCACGGATGAGAATGAACCACATCAGGGCCGGGAAGTAGAAAGTGAAACCGGAGACGAACAACGCCGAGCAAATCGACAGCAGATCGTTGAAGAAGGGGATAACCTCAGCGATAACAAAAGCGACAATGGTGGCCACAGTGATAACGGCCAACCAAGTAATCCATCCCATCTTGGTGTTGATGTATCGGATAGGAGAGTTCTTGAAAATGCGGCCGTGAACCAAGCGGCCCAGCACGACGGTGTTGATAGAGCCACTGATGAAGATAACGGGAAGGGCGATACCGAAGGCCACTTTACTCAACATATTGCCAGCGGAGAGCAGGGCGGGGCTACCCACATCAACACCGACAAAGGCATAGATCAGCGAACCAGTCAAGGTGTAGATAATAATCTCGGTAATGCCCAAAGCCCAGATAGACTTGACGTAGTCCTTGGGTGTGTGCATTTCATCCATGAACGAGAACTGGCAGAGAGCGAAACTGTAGGCGAAAATAATGTTGGAGATTGCAATGAAACCGTCAGTGAAGGTGAGGCCGTCCTGTGGCCAAGCAGACCAATTGACATTGGAGAGTCCAATTTCCTGATTATTCTTGATACCGGTGCCGATGATGGTGATACCAATTGCGGCAATAATAGAAACGAAGTCGATGTAACCCAGGATAGCCATTTCAGTGAAACTCGGCGGCACTGCGAGGAGTAGCAAAATCACAGCAGACACGACTCCCCAAACAACGGAGCAGACATCACTGCTGGTGATGTTCACAAACGCAATCGTGCCAGTCAAACAATGCGAGCCGGTAAGGAAGAGAAGTTCCAAGATGAGCATAATGTTGATCAATTCTTTACCGAAACGACCAAACATAAGCTGGCCAGCGTCGGGGTAGTGAGCGACATGCGGGAACTTCAACTTCACTTGACCGATGATGTGACTAGTATAGACAGCGACGAGACCCAAGCCAACGGTACAGATGACGCCAGCCACCATACCAAGCTTCGCAAAACTAGAAGGAATGGACAAACTTCCGAGAGCAACGGCCTCCACAATAAGCACGACGGTGAGACGCTTCCAACCGAGACGGCTGAACTTATGGATACCATCTTCGACGATGTCCCTTTCCCTCTCATCCATTTCACCAACCAAGTCCCCATCATAGTGAGGGGGAACACCAAGCTTCTCGGCCCCAGCCTCCATGGCTTTGTTGTTGGCCTTGTCGAGGTCAGAAATATCTTCTGAGGAGTAGCCCATTGTGAAAGTTTGGGGGGGCGGAGGAGATGCTGAGAAAGTGAGAACGAGGAAGGGACGAGAAGGGAAGAAGGTGTGGGCTGTTTCCCTGTCGGACCACGTTCCTGAAAGTCTGGGAAGAGAGCAGAATTTGAGGAAAGCCCGGCCACGGCAGTTATATAATCGATGTACCAGACTTGGACCGATTTGGAAGCCAGCAGAAAGGACTCGGAAGGGCACCGTATACTTTGCCACTAAGCCTGTGCCCGCCGGTTGCCCAAGAGGGCTTGCATGAAACTGCCGTGGTGTGATTGGGTTTGGAATTTCGACAGAATCATGATAGTGTGTTTTTTTTTCTGTTACTAATAAGATTTGGTGGCGGACGTTTATCTTGAATGGTCGAACCATATGGAGAACAAGCTCACTCCAACTGCTGGTCCAACCAACCAGATCTCAGGTCGGCCCGTCCACGAATTCGGATTTGGTCTAGTGTGAAACTCTCAGGCTTTCGGTCAATCAGCCTCAGCCACCGAATGATAACAGGAAGGAGGAAAAAAAAAAAAATACCACAGAGGCTAATTGTGACATGATTACAACTGGTAAGAGTACTGTGTAAAACGTGGGGATGTTGGGGACGAAAGTGGGCATCGCTCACGTTCCTCCCCAATGGGCATCTTGATAAGTTGATAATGCATATCTTCGGTGGGTTATCAGTTTCTAAAGTAGACGACAACGTGGCAAAGCAAAGGAAGTACGGTAACATTCCTCCGTCCTCTGTTGTCACGCAATACTTATTCCAACCAACACCCCTAGTCAAGAGGTCATTGATTATATCTCACCGCTTGGTACGCCGTACCTCGCAATACGATTATGGTTTGACTGAAACCTTCTATTACCTAGATCACTACCACCATCATTTTGTGGGGATCAATTTTCCACCATTGAACATACTCCAGAATTTCAACTAATTTTAGGCTTCTTTTGTCGATTCATGCATGCGCTCCTCTGAGCGGGCCATGTTGGAGAACATTGGAGAACCGACAGGGATGTGCGGTGGGTAGACGCGGCGACAGAATAGGATGCAGTCCGGTGGTGATGTGACCTTGACTTCTACCGAGTATGCCATATTCAGCAATTCTATGACAAACTGCCAAGTGCTGTATAGCTCCCTAAACTACACCCGAGTATATCGCTACCAATGTATTCGCTCGCCCAGTCTCACCAAGACTTCTTGGAAGTTCTAGGCGCTTCAAATTTTTTACACTTATGCATTTGTCAGAGGGCTTGGTAAGCCCTTCTAGGTTGCCTGATGAATGCCTGAGCCCTGCCAAGTTTTTAAGGTTCCAAAAGCGGCATTCCGCATTGGTCGTAGCAATGTGGGTCCTATGGCTTCGGGCCCAGTAGCTTTCCTGAATCTTCCGAAGGATCGGCACCATTGCCCGCTTCGTTCATCAATCCAAATTCTATCTCTTGAGGGGATTTAATATACTTGCAGATCCGGACAAGTGCTCCGTAGTGAGCGGTACTATAATTTCAAGCTTACTGCGTTATCTGAAGATGTTCTAACCTTCTTTGTGTAGGAAATTTGTCTTTTTGTTCAAAGAGCCTTATGTGTCCGGTATTATGATGGAATGTTTCACCGTAGAATATCCGTTATCAGTTACTCAATACGATCCTTATTGATAGAGAATCTGTTTATCTTCATTGTTGATCTATATGCCCCCTTTGTTGCCAGGAAACCCTTATCACCTTTTTACGGTCAAGCGATGAATGTCTTTCAAGGGATCTACTCAAAAGGGGTTATATGAGGATCTGGATAGTATAAGACCGGAGCGGGTTAACTTCGGGTCGGGAGATGAGAAAGGTAGAAGCGTACCGAAATGGACACATAAACGAAAGCGTGTTGAAGAGAAGACTCCGCAAAAAGAAGTTTAAGAATGCCCCAGTCTAAAGATAGGATCTTCGCTTACTCCGTCGAAAACCGAGAACCTGAGGCACTTCCATTTTTGTGATGGGTGTTTGTTGAAACCTCGAGGTTCAAGTATCGAAAAGCTAAACTATCTTCTTTTTCGCTCTCCCACCCTCTTCCTTTCCTTCTTCGTCTTGATTCTCGTCAATAAATGAACCAAACAATCTATGATTGTTATACTCCGATCTCAAATTCTATAAAGTCTAAAGAATATTTTTTTGTTGAGTTCCTTGCGAAATTTGGGGAAATGCAAGACCTGGGTCTTCTGTTTGGTGAGGCTGATATTCATGGTTGAATCTGGTGTTCATAGTGGTTGCTCTCCCAATATAATGATCCTTTTTTAGTTATTGTCTTTTTATTTCCTTCTAAAATTTCCCAACCCCTTGCCCCATGCTGTGACCTGCATATGAGCTAAAATTTCGCATCGCTGGAATCTGTGGAGAGAGTTTCCCCCAAAGATTGACATGAAGAATGGGTTTGGTTGCTGTGGGGGCGGCCAGGGTTTGTTGACATGGCCAACTCAGGGATAGCGGTGCTGCCTTCAAAGTACGAACTCCTAATCTTAGCTCACTAATTATTACCCTCTCCGCTCACTGTGCTTCCAGCCACTAAAACAGGCTGAACACTTGCATCGTTTACCGCTTTGTTTCCTTTCTGATTAGTTCCGGCTGAAGATCCTACCATTTCCATTCAAGGATTACCCCTCTATCAAACTGTATCCCTCGTCTGTGTTACTATTCGGCGCTATCTCCAGCCTCCCTTCGGACCAGCCCTGAATGTCCTCAACCATTACAGCTATTCACCATGTTGACGGTTGAAAAGTCATGGGTCAATGTTCAGCAGAAAACCTTTACAAAATGGTCAGTTTCCACTAGCCGCCCACTGTTGCTTCCCCTTGATCGGGGTCAACCCCGTGCGTCTATCGGATCCCTTGATTTCATCCTGCCTTATTCTTTCTCGTCCATTTCTGGGTCCCATTCAGCTGACACTATTGATTTTCCAGGCTCAATGATAAGTTGAAGGTTCGAAGACTCTTCATCGAAGATCTAGTATCTGACCTCTCCAACGGCGTGAGTGAGCCCCGCTACCGGACACCTCGATAAGCCTCCCCTTGCCTCTACCGAGTCTTCGGAAAGATAAAATAATCAGAAAGGAGAGGGAATGAGAAAACTTGATGCGCAGAGACTAACAAAGCTAACCTAGATCATCCTCATTCACCTTCTCGAAATCCTCGGTGGCGAGCCCCTCGGTAAATATGCCTCGAATCCCAGATTGCGCGTGCAAAAATTTGAAAATGTCAACAAGAGTCTGGACACTATCAAGGGGAGGGGAATTCAGATGACAAACATCGGTGCAGAGGACGTCGTGGATGGCAATAGGAAGATCATCTTAGGGCTAATATGGACTCTCATTCTGAGATTCACCATCAGCGATATCAATGAGGAAGGTATGACCGCAAAGGAGGGTCTATTGCTGTGGTGTCAAAGGAAAACCGCCTGCTACGAGGAAGTCGAGGTCCGAGACTTTTCCACTAGCTGGAACGATGGTCTGGCGTTTTGTGCCCTTCTGGATATACATCGCCCTGACTTAATCGACTTCGACGCGCTTGACAAAAAGGACCACCGTGGGAACATGAAACTGGCATTTGAAATTGCTGCTAACGAAATCGGCATCCCCGACCTGCTTGATGTGGACGATGTCTGCGATGTCCCAAGACCTGATGAGCGCTCTTTGATGACTTACATCGCATATTGGTTCCATGCCTTCTCCCAGTTGGAGCGGGTCGAGAATGCCGGTAGACGAGTCGAAAAGTTCATCAACAACATGCATGGCGCTTGGGAAATGCAGAACTCGTATGAAAGAAGAATGAAGGAACTTCTGCGTCTCATCAGAGCCCAACGCGAGGAATGGAAGAACGCTTCTTTCGAAGGAACGTACAAGGATGCCAAGGACCAGGCTTATCAATTTTCCTTGTACAAGAGAAAACAGAAACGGCAATGGGTAGCTGAAAAATCCGACCTTGCTGCCCTCTTGGGTAACATCAAAACCAAGCTCAGCACCTACCGTCTCCGCCCCTATGACCCCCCGGCAGAGCTAAGTCTTGAAGTTTGCGATCAAGAATGGGAATATCTAACGCGCGATGAGCATGAACGTAGTCAACTCATTAACGAAACGATTCGAGATATCAAGAACGCCCTCCGTCGTTCCTTCGCGGACAAAGCGAATGACTTCGCACTAACTTTGAAGACTCTATCTCTTGCAATATCCGGTCTTGATGGCGATGTAGAAGACCAGTTAGCCCATGTTAAGAGACTCAATGACAACCTTCCTCCCCTTGATGCGTTTTTAGATACTATTGCGGAGATAGACGAGCAGTGTGTGGAAGCGAACATTGAAGAGAACGACTACACAACATATACACTAGATGAACTCTCCTACGAGTTGAGCCTAGTCAAGTCGAGCATCTCCAAGAAGCTAGCCTTCCTTGACAATCAGCTTGTGGCTCGAAACATGACGAATTTGACCCCGATCCAGTTGGAAGAGTTTGAATCAGTATTTAGACATTTCGATCGCGACTCCTCAAACACCCTTCATGAGCTTGAGTTCTCTGCTGCCCTTGCCAGCCTTGGACTCGTATATGACGAGGATGAGATGCACGAGGTGTACGTTGAGACGTGTGGCCCAGCTAGATTAGCACAGAACGCCGGAGTTAGCTTCGAACAGTTTATCCGTTTCATGGTCAGTGTGACTGAGGATCAAAACACCGCCGAACAAGTGTTGCAGAGTTTCCGTGAAGTCGCAGATGGCAAGGTATGTTCCAATCAGGAGGCTGCGTCGCCTTGTTTCGTGCATTCACTGACTTTTGAATAGCCATATGTCACTGAACTTGATCTTCGACACTCCCTTATTCCCGATGAAGTTATTGACCATCTTGTTCAGACCATGCCTAGGCATGAAGTATTTGACCGGGGTGAAGACCAAAATGAACCCAAGTACGACTACTATAGCTTCATGGAGAAGATGATGGAGAGTGGCAACCGTGGACAGAGTAATGCCGCGTCCAATGGCGGGGCTTAATGAGGTTTCGTATCGCACCATTGGCGTTTTGTCTTTTCTTTCACATCCTCTAATATTTTGCTATTGGAAGCTGCTACTGGTGTTCTCTGGAGCTATAGGGAGGGATATGTCTTGATCGGCGACGACATGAAATATGCATACCGGACTAGGACGAGACTTTTCTTGGTGTTCTTGCATCGCATCCTGGATTTACTTTGTTTCTACTCCCTCTATGATGCCTGTTGGCAATTGCTCACATGTACACCACATTGATGGGGGCGGAAGTAGTTATGGAAATAAACACAGTATCGATAACCACAGCTGTAATGTTAAGGAGATGTCTTCACCATGAACTGATTCCTCCATCCCGGATTTAAGAAATCGTATCCTGTACAGTATGTATCACGTGATATCTCGTTCCGCCCGAGCTGTCTGGACCGTGTCTCTTTCTCCGGCTCCCTTGACCTCAACCTCAGCACTCTCTCCCTTTATTTACTGTGTACGTTTGTACTTTGGATTTTAGGGATTTCTCCGGCTTGACAGCAACTTATCTTGTTTCTTTACTGTAGCGATACCTTCCATGTCCACCATGGACCGCAGCTTGGATGAGATCATTGCGGAGCGTCCTGTAAGTCTTCCGGTTCGCGCCAATTCCAATTTGGCCATACTATATTGTCGCCACCCATCCAATAACTAGCTCACTGACATGTAAAATATCCAGCAGAAACAAAATCGGGGTGGCCGCCGCCCTCCTCAAGGTCGTCGCCGTGATGGCGTAAGAAAGGTATTTCTCAAACTCCGCTGTTACATTCATCGCATATATTTCTTTTTTTGATTTCATACTGATCGGCCTGCTCTTCAAAATAGGTCCTTCCTCCCAACTCTCTTTCGAACCCTCTACGCGCATCTTGATAAGCATAATTCGCTGGCCTCGTAGTTGTCTTGGAATAGGCATTCGGCCGCGGAATCCGCAGACGATGGACCAGTTTCCATGATACTTGAGATGATTTCGAGCTGACATTGTCCTTTTTTGCGATCACAACAGTCTTATAGAGAAGAACGCCCTGATTTAGATCTGTAAAAACCCCCTCTTTCCTTAATCTACGGCTGTGTTAAGTTTGCTAACAAACTCGGATTCGATATTATAGGGATTGGGTACACGACAAATATGAAGACGACAGAGATTGTGCGTTTTGAACCTTACCCGGGCACTTGCCGCGGAACCTCTAGTTTTCTATTCTTACACAATCTGTTCAGCACGCCCATCTCGTGCCCCTCGACGACCACGCGGTGACCGCTATTCCCCGCCGACGGACCAGTATGTCTATTTAGTCTGAAGAATGTTCCGCGTGTAGTGGCCTAACCCTTTGATAGCGCCCCTACTGGAGCTAAGCTTCGTGTTGAGAACCTTCATTACGATATTACAGAAAGTGATCTTGAGGTAAAGATGTTAGTCTGACTAGTTTGCCTTCTAGATCGTCTAATGTATTTTCTTTCCAGGATCTGTTCACTCGAATTGGCCCGATCAGCAACCTCTCTCTTGTCTATGACCGAGCAGGACGCTCTGAGGGTGTCGCCTTCGTTACCTATGCACGTACCAGCGATGCAAGGACGGCCATTAGCGAGTTTGACGGCGCGAATGCTAAAGGACAACCTATTCGTGTAACTCTTGTTTCCACAGGCGGTGGACGACGAGAACGGAATCCCTTTGACAATGTTGAAAGGCCTAAAGGTAGCTTGTTTGACCGTGTGGAGCGGCCACGCGATCGTGACTCCCGCAGTCTTAGCCCCGGAAGTGGACATGAAAGTGCTGACGATGGTGCACGCCGCCGTCGTGGCCGCCGGGGAGGTGGCGGACGCTACCGACGTAGCGATGTCTCCAAGCCAGCTCCGGATCATATAGATCGGTATGTGCCAGGACAGCGATCGCCGGCGCGTCGTCCCGCCAACGGACGACGCCAGGGCCAGGGCCAGGGCGAGAGCCGTCGCGCCCCTGCTGCTCGACCCAAGAAGACGCAGGAAGAGCTGGACCAAGAGATGGACGATTACTGGGGCACTGCAAACACTGGTGCTGGCACTGCTGACAAGGAGACCGTTCAGGCTGAGCCGCAGCAAATTGCGCCTGCGACTACAGCTCCTGCTGGCGACGACGATATTGACATGATTGAGTAAATCCACCAATCATCAACGCTTGTAACTAGTTAATACGTGGGTTTCGAGAGTTTCGCATCAGATTGGGAAGGATATTCATTTGTCGTTATTGCTACGTTAACACACAAAAGGCACGACTATGCTAGGTCATAACAGTTCGTAGCCATTGACCATCCAACTCGGCTCATACAAATATATAGAATTAACCAAATTGGTTTCTAATCTGTTCTTTTCATTAAAAATAACTACCGGGGAAAGGCTATCCCAAGCCAACAACAGCTTGCCCCTAAGTACAAATTGGACATAGCATCATAGCTAAGCACCAAATTCGATATTTTCAGATAACCTCCGAGATCCGTACCTCCGTATCTGCAAGATAGGTAGGGTGAAAGAGATTTGAAAAGACATTTCACAGATATGGTTTTACTTTCACCTCCATAAACCGTATGGCTCTCTGCATGCTTTCCACAATTTGATCGTGCCATCCTCGCTTCCTGTGCCGTAGAGTTTACCGTCGGGTGAGAAACTGACAGACCAGATCGGGCCATGGTGTCCTTTTTGGACTTCTGTCGGGGTATTAGTTCGGCTAATATATTACTATGAATGAAATTAAGTGGAGAGAGAACATACCCAGCTCTTCATCCGTCCGGAGATCATAAACTCGTGCCCAAGTGTCGTCTGCACTTCCAGTCACCAGGCGACCAGTTTCATTGTTGACAGCGGCGCTAGCGACCTCGTACCTGAAGTCAGTCTTCTTCAGCAGACGGCCGGGGCTCGAGCCATCGAATAGATAGACGGATTTGCCTGCGGCGACGGTAAGGATGCCGGGGTCATTGGGACGGACGGCCAGTGTGTTCAATTCGCAGCTACCGATGGTACCCTCGACAGTGTACTCGATTACGGGGTGACGAGAGCGCAAATCCCACCATCTGATCTTACGATCTTCCGCGGCTGTCGTGAGGATATTGTAATCCTGGTTCCAGACAATGGATTTAATGGTTCCACCATGGACACCCGGACCGATCTCATAGCTGGTTACTCCGGTGCCGTTTTCCCCCGTTGATGCGGGGAAGGTCGGCGAGGATGAGTTGCTACCACTGTTGCTGCGGGACAGGTCGAAGATGCGGAGCTTCTTTTCGAAGCCGCCTGTGGCTAGAACCTGGGGAGATGGCTGCATGGGAAATGCAACTGCCCGGACGATGTGGGAGTGCTGCAGCGTGTGGAGACATTCACCTGTGTGAGTGTCCCAGACCTTTCTGTAGAAATGCATTAGTGGTTTGCTACAGCTGCTGGGGGAAAAGTGAGCTTCCCGAACTCACGCGGAGAAATCGGCCGCAGCTGTTGCTGCTATGGTGGCGTCTGTTGAGAGTCTGGCTTGCCAGACTGCGCCTTTATGGCCGAGGAAGGTTCCAATCCTGTGTCGTGGTTAGTGATCTTTGTCATTAATGGGAATAGATAGTACTGAGGGATACGTACCAATCACCGGTGATACCGTCCCGGAGCATGGGATTGTTGTCTGCAAAGATTTAGTTTGGAGCATTCTGCTTGACCAATGATCAGGAACATACCCTTGCAAGCGGATATGAGATAATACTGGTCATCTTCTACTGTGGAAGAAAAGTCGATATGTGGCACGGGACGAGAGTGTCCGTGGCAGGTCAAGGGGACCACTTTTGTAAGGTCTGTGACATATGAGTAACCATCGATGGTGGAGGTTTCAAGCAGTTATGACAATACCTGACGCCATTGCAGCTTTCAACTGGGGGTTGTAAAATGACAATTTCTCGGTATTAGAGTGATTTCATTCAATTCAATTCAATTCTGTGCGGCCGTTATGTAATGATCTGATGTTCAAACACGGAGACGAAGGGACCCGTCCAAGAACAGAAAGAAAGGTAGAAATGAGAAGAGCTTGAAAAGAGTTTATGTAGAAGTACAGAAGAAAATTCGTCAGTCTCGTCAAGTCATCAACTCAAGTACGGCGGGGTTGTAGTAACAATGATTGAGAAATCCTGGACGGAAGAAATAAAGTAACGAGAGGGAAAGAGAAGGAGAAATCAGTCAACAGATCTGTCCACCGCAGCAAACCCACTACAGAACAATTAATCCGCAACCCTTCGAGAGAATAAAGAAAAGGGGAGACCCCGACCCAAAAGGAAGAAAGCTTGAAGTCGCGAGGTGAACTTCTTTTTGATATTCGTTCAACCCACCGGCATTTGTTTCAATTGTCCGACACACCGCGCTAAGCTATATCAGGACTAGTGTACGTGCACGTGAGGCTTGTAGCTGGACCCACTTGTTTGCCCAACTTTAATCATGTATTCTTCCTTAAGACGAACCCATGTCTCATTGCATTTATTGCTCTCAGATAATGACCACAGATTGCTGTATTACTATATACTACAACACCTGTCCATCCTTGTTGCTTCCAGCTCTCCACATCATTGGTTCACTCTTTATCCCTGCTACCCCACTTGGTTGTTCCTGTTGACCACGTATACATACCTTACTAGCAATGGCTGTTGCAGATCTCTTTGTTGTAACGGGTAGTCGAGCAGCGTGCGCATATAATTACCAGATCCTTGGCCATTGGCAGCCCGCCCAGTCATTGCCTGCGGGAAAGGTCGATTAATCAAGGTACCAGGCTAGCATATATACGAGTAGAATAGAAGAATAGCCTCCTCGGATGTAATGACACAGAGAATCTTGGAATAGAGTAGTGTCTATCCATAGAATAGGTCTTTTTATTTGAGTGGTCATCAATGTCTGGCCAGAGCCAACGCACAGCCCGCTTAGATCAAAGTTGAAGGATCAGGTTGCTTTCAGAAATTTTGAATCGTTTTAGAAGCCTTGTCAAGTGATCTAAAGAATCCCAGTCATTCCACGTGATGTCAAGCAGCAATTGGTATAGCATGAGCAGCACTACTGTAATCCATGATAGTTCTGCTTCCTTTCAATACAAACAACGCAATACTAGAACCGCACACAAAATTCACCACAAGAATTAAATTTGATGTCAACAGTTTGTTATCCAACTACGCAATGGCAAGTCTATGTACATACAGTGCCGTGATCGTCAACCGACAAGGCTCCTATCTCACGCAAAAAGATACCTTTCTCTACTGGGCCCTACATCCACTGAGCTTCGTTGGAGCACCTCATCTACACCCAGTCTTTGATCTTCCATTTTAAGGAATGGGAGCCATGATTTATATTGTCAGTAAAAGGATGAGCGTTGTTCTCCTGCCTCCTGACACTCCTCTCATTGTTCGTCTTGTCGACCGGAATAAGGTTATTCTCAGCATGTTTGTTCGACTTTTCAGCAAACATCCCGTTTGCAGGAATCTACATACATGATCAGTAATTCTGGAATCGAATACCACCCGATTTCCTTACTTTCAAAGTTGGTGCAGCCAAGGCAGAAGTAGCTAAGAGCAAGCCAGCAAGAACACTGGGCTGCGTTGTTAAATGATCCATTATGATCGGTTGTCGCTATACTTTGATGTACAAGTCCAATACAGGCACAGATATGCAATCGCTTCGTGGATGCAGAGAGTTACGATTCTTGCAAGCTAAGGGCGTCTTTTTAACAAAGACTTTGATGTTCTCCGGGGTATATATTTCATTCTTCTTTAGACAGACGACGTCGGTTACAGACAAACCATCTCGAACCTTCAAATAGGGGTTGTCTAAATCCGAAGCTATGTGGTTCATTTGCCAGAGTCCCGTAGTCAATTGAGCGTTGCATACCCTGAGGGTACTCATTAGTACTAACTTAGTACTGGTATCCGAAGCCCTTATGCATGGTAGGTTCCTATACCGGCCATTTCCCTCGATAGAGCCCAGGCTTATCAAGGTTTTCGTTGTAATACCCAAAAATCTGCGAGTCTGTGGTCCCATTCTATATACCCAGGAGGCTTCTTGTCCGTCTAGAAGACCAGTTTAGCGGACCGGTGAATAGCACAGCAGCTTCTCCATAATTGAAGACTACTTGAAAACTTCATCACCCTCCTGGAGAAAAAAAATACAGTTCATTATTCTCAACGTCGGCTTTCCGATAATCGTCGAAGGTTGCAGGGAGCCGAGAGGCCCAGAGCCAATATCTAGTGTAATACCTTGGGGTTTTAGATGAAAGACAGCCCTCATCAAGCCAAATTATATATCTTTGCCTTGGGCTTACCCGCCGACACAGGGTTTGTCTCATGGAGGTTCGTTGAAACCCACGGTCTGGTGCATTTAAGTCCATGTAATAAACGGTCACTCATTCTGAGTAGCAGAGTTCTTGATCGATTATACTGTCCGACTGGCCCCAGCTTCCAATCGGAGACCTTGGTGGCTAAAAAGCAGCCAGCAGCTGGTGCCTGACCCACCGGTCTAGGCTTTACAGTTCTAGCAGCTTCTACTCCACCGCCCACGTGACTGGGACTCCGCGGATCCTATTGTTCCTTACTAAGGGTAAGTGCTAGTATGAGTGACTAGTTCCCTGGTACGTTAGTAACCAAGACACCAACACAGCAACTCTCACTCAGGGTCAATCTCTCCGTCTCGTTATAGGACCTGGCCAGCTTTGCGACAATACCATTTTTGCCTAGGTTCTCTCATTTGCCTCCTCTTAACCCTCTGGGGGTGAACTTTATGTATGCCTGACTTCAAGATCTCCGCTTCTTTGGAGGGCCACGGCGATGATGTAAGAAGGTCCCCGGCTGTTGATGTCCACAACCAGTGGTATCTCAATTATTGCTTTTTTAACAACTGACCATCGCTAACGATCATCGCAGGTTCGTGCTGTGGCCTTTCCTAATCCGAATGCCGTGTTTTCGGCTTCTCGCGATGCGACTGTCCGACTCTGGAAGCTTGTATCTACCCCGCCCCCAACATACGACTACACTATCACATCCTCCGGCTCCGGTTTTATCAACGCCATAGCCTATTATCCACCAACCCCTGAATTTCCTGAGGGCCTTGTATTTTCCGGAGGCCAGGACACTATCATCGAGGCAAGACAGCCGGGTAAGGCGTCGGATGACAATGCGGATGCTATGCTTCTAGGACATGCCCACAATATCTGCGCTCTGGATGTGTCACCCGAGGGTGGCTGGGTTGTCAGTGGAAGCTGGGACTCCACGGCTAAGCTGTGGAAACTTGGGAAATGGGAGTGCGATGTCACCTTCGAGGGTCATCAGGGGAGTGTCTGGGCTGTGCTGGCGTATGATAAGGATACAGTCATTACCGGTATGTGTCATACTACGGGCTCAGGTATACTGTATGACTCCCATGCTAATACTCCTACAGGCTGTGCAGATAAAGCTATCAGGATCTTTAATTCTTCCGGAGTTCTTCTGAAGACCATCCAAGATTCTCGGGATGTTGTCAGGGCCCTTTGTAAGGTTCCTGCGTCGAATCCCACTGGTGCACAATTCGCTTCAGCCGGCAATGACGGTGTAATCCGATTGTACACCATACAGGGCCAGGTAGTCGCAGAACTTCATGGCCACGAAAGTTTTATTTACTCCTTAGATGCGTTACCGTCGGGTGAGTTGGTGAGTTCCGGGGAAGATCGCACAGTGAGGGTCTGGAGCGGCACGCAGTGCGTGCAAACCATCACCCACCCGGCGATCTCAGTGTGGGGAGTTTCTACTTGCAAAGAAAACGGTGATATTGTCACGGGTGCCAGCGACCGTGTGACCCGGGTTTTCACCCGGAGCGAAGAACGGCTAGCAAGCGCTGAGGTAGTGGAGCAGTTCGAGAAGTCTGTTAAAGAGTCCTCGATACCCGAACAACAAGTTGGAAATATCAATAAGGAGAAATTACCGGGACCCGAGTTTCTTCAGCAGAAATCTGGCACGAAAGATGGCCAGGTGCAAATGATTCGACAAAATGACGGCAGCGTAACCGCCCATACATGGTCGGTAGCGTCGCAGGAATGGGTAGCCGTGGGCACGGTGGTTGATTCTGCTGCCAGCAGTGGAAGGAAGACGGATTATCTAGGCCAGGACTATGATTATGTCTTCGACGTTGACGTTGAAGATGGGAAACCGCCACTCAAGCTCCCGTACAATGTCTCTCAAAACCCGTACGAAGCTGCAACGAAGTTCATTCAGGACAATGAACTGTCCATGAACTATCTCGACCAAGTGGCACAATTTATTGTCCAAAACACACAGGGTGCGACTATTGGCCAGTCTACGCAGGGGTCGACTCCTGCTGGCGCTGACCCTTGGGGCCAGGAGAATCGTTACCGTCCTGGGGATGCCTCCGCTCAACCTCCTGATCAACCCCCTTCTGTTCCTGAATCCCGCCCCAACGTTCTTCCCCAGAAGACATACCTTTCAATCAAGTCTGCCAACTTGAAGGTGATTGCGAAGAAGCTACAAGAAATCAATGAGCAGCTTGTGTCGTCTGGGTCGAAGGAGCTATCCCTCAGCCCCCCGGAAGTAGACACAGTCGTCTCACTGTGCAATCACCTAGAGACCCCAGAGAGTCTCAAGCAATTTCCTACTTTGGAGACCGGACTTGGATTACTGTTTAAGGTTGCAACGGGCTGGCCTGTGCCAAATAGACTACCGGGTCTGGATCTCCTTCGTTTATCAGCGGCTGCAACACCCGTGACTGCCACCGCAAACTACAACGGTCAAGACCTCATAACTGGCATCCTATCAAGCGGCACATTTGATACTTCTCCGAATGTCAACAATGCAATGCTTTCAGTACGAATGCTGGCCAACCTCTTCGAGACCGATCCTGGCCGACAGCTGGTTATGAGTAGGTTCGACCGGATCATACCCGCTGTAAAATCGGCACTGAGTAGCAGCGGTGCAACACCAAACCGCAATCTTACTATTGCAGTTGCAACTCTCTACATTAATGTCGCTGTTTACCTCACCTCTGAAGGTAGAGAATCTGCTCCAGAGTCCTCTGAACGAGGTTTGGTGCTCCTCGCCGAACTGGTGCAGATGATCGTCGGTGAGAAGGACTCCGAAGCGGTATATCGGAGCCTTGTCGCCTTGGGCACATTGATCAAGGGGCTCAGCGAAGAAGTCAAGAGTGCTGCTACAGATGTATACGACATTCGCCAAGTCATTGGGAACGTGACGACCTCGGGTCCCGGGAAGGAGCCCAGGGTCAAGGGCGTCGTCGGTGAGATTAGGGAGTCGTTGCAATAAGGCAAGGCGTAGACGGCCTTTTTCGAGCACATGATGCATTTGAGGATTAGACAATCATCTTTAATGATAGCCATGCATTTTACATTATTAGAGACTCAACAAACTTAGGCAATCCACACACGCTGTACATATAAACGAACCTCAAAGGATCACACAAGCCTTCTTCTAGACAGTAAAACAATCCTATTCTTCAAAGCCTTCCTTCGGCATCAACTCCAACCTCCACGATTTGATCAATGCCTGGGTAATTGGGAAGGTCCAGCCCGTACTTCTCCGTGATACTCTTCGTCAAAAACCGACCACCGAGGAAATGCCTCCCCTGGTAATGCTTCACACAGGGTTTTGGTGCTGTTAAACTAATCAGATACTCTGGCATGAACTTAGACCCAGGGCCTTCCTTCGGTGGGCCACCCTCTATATCCCAAGAGCTGGGCGCATCGACGCTCAGTACAGGCACTGAAGCCGCCTCGATCTGAGAGATGATGGTTGGGAAAGGGTCACGGAGAGGGCCACCGAAAGAAAACCCGAAGATTGCATCAACTAAGAGATCGGCAGATTTGATTGCTACGGGAAAATCGGTAATGAATGGCACGGAGAGGTTGTCGAGTTGGGTTTTGAGGCGCTATCGATGAGTTTAGTTTTGGCTGCAACCGAGTAGAATCCACCCTTGCTGGCAAACGTACCTGGTAAAGTTCGTTCTTGCCCTCTTTCGGATAATAAACGGATGGCTTATAACCGTACTGAGCGAGGTGGCGAGCAGCGACCAGACCGTCTCCTCCTGTGATTGCCATTAACCTGGGTCTCATCGCGGTGGCCTTGACGTTGACTTGCCGTTGTTGCCGGGACCGCAGACAACTAGGATATTCTTTCCAGCGCTTGGAGGATGCACGCGGTAGACTAAAGAGTATGCTGTCAGTGGGATCCACAACTCGTTTGGTCTCTCTCAATTTGCATCTCACCTGCTTGCGAAACAGACAATCCAGCAAGTTCCATCAGTTGGTCCAACGACCATCCTCCGATTTCCATCAGATCTTTGTCTAGGGATGCGGCATCTTTAGAAGAAATAGCCTATGCGGATAGCTTAGTTTGATATACGCTTGGAATCGTGTAGTAAAAGGAAGCGTACCTTCAACGACATCCTGGCGGTTCTACTGTAGTATCGAATCGAAGCGGGGAATGGATATCGCTTGAACCCTGTCAATGCAGAACGAAACATATATCACTTGTTTGGAGGGACAGGGCAGAAAGTTCTAGAGCTCAATATCCCTCAGCTATCTTATATTTTCAACAATGGTCTATCTCGAGAACACGATGAAACTCATCTAAATAAATAACCTCAAAGAAGCTGTGGTGGGATCTGATTACATCATACCTTATCATCCATACAGTACACCGCCTAGCGCTAATCCGCATTCCGTAAGACCGGATCAACAAATCCTCCGGCAATCTGCGAAACTGCCGCGGAAGTCTTGCTGTCCTGCTTCAGACCCAGCGTATAGACCTTCTGTCGGACACTCACTGCTGCCGGTCAATTCCATTCAGCCTTCAAAATGGTCGTCCGTATTCGTCTGGCCCGATTCGGGAACAAGCATCAACCATTTTACAACATTGTTGTTGCGCAGGCACGGTACGTTTGTCTGCGGTTTTATTTTTCTTTCCCTTTTTCTTCCCGAGTCCTGACTTTTACCCTATGAGAACAAGCCAATATGTCCAACGAAAAGAGGCAGCTGTGAAGCTAATGTAATGTGATCACTACAGGAGTGCTCGTAACTCGAAACCTTTGGAGGTCATTGGCACTTACAACCCCGTCCCGCAACGCCCTACGAACCTCTCCGACGAGGAAGCCCGCAGCGCAAGGCCATACAAGGAAGTATCACTTGACCGGTCCCGAGCCAAGTACTGGATCGGTGTTGGAGCGCAGCCCAGTGAGGGTGTGTGGCGGTTACTGAGCCTGGTACGTGAACGATGAGTCCAGAATACGAGGTCAGACGTTGTGATAGATGGTGAACTAACAATACTGGGATACAGGCTGGCATCGGCGATGGCAGAACAAAGACACAGAACTAAAACTTGTTTCATTCATACCCAGATTTCTTGTATTGATTGATGCATCGCTATCCCGATCTTTACGTCAGTGATTGAAGAGGACGGCCTATTTGACTTGATATACTCTTTGAGTGCCATGTTTTGGCATTTTCCATGGCGTTATTGCGTGAACCTTTTCTGGAATATATTGGTTCGATGACCGAACCTTGTACCTGTACATTATGTGAGCTGGTTGTGTTTAATTGTGACATGAGAGAATCGCATTTGTCGATTACGGATTGATAACAATAAATTATGGAGGGCCACGCTGCGCCCTGAGCGGCTGGTCTTCCCTGTCCGTATGCAGGCTAAGTCTGGGGCTCCTTGTTCAATTTCTCAGATTGCCGGCAAAATCTGTGGGTTGAAGTATGCCTTGGACCTATCGGGGGTCGCACCGGCATTGTAAAATGAAACACGGGAGATATGGTGAGCCGCGCTGTGGTCAAAGATGTACATGCGCCGTATCTCTACATGGGTGGCTTCTTGATTAGATCACTGACTCGCAGAGTCGCAGTTCGCTTGCGAGTTAACCGTTATTCCTTGTCTCGGGTTTTTGTGGTGTTGGAGAGCCGTGGTGATATTATGATATTATGCACCCTTGAATTTAAGCCCTTGTGTCTTACATATCTCGACAGTGAGAACTCTACATACTAGATCTCTCTCGTGGTAAGGCCTTGTCTACACAGTGTACGCGCCAACGATGTGTTGACCTCTCGTATGTACCTTCCATATTTCACGTTGTAATGCACTAAAGTTGATACTACGGTATCATGGAAATTACGGCTGCATAAGCATCCGCATTATGTGTGGTCAATGTTCACTTATGCTGCCCTGGAGATGAAGTATCCGATTTGATGATTGCCCCTAGTATAAATCAATGACAGTCTACATAAGCGTCATAATGAGCGACATATTGTCCAGATGAGACAAGGATACAACCATTCTTACCTCACCTATCACCAGACATAGCCTCGACGTTGTGCCATGATCACACCAATACACGTACTGGTATAGAAACATAGGCAGCGAGCCAACATCTGACATCATCCTAGTGAGTCAGCGTGTAGGCAGAAAGGGTTCTCAACCACGGCAACACAACAGGCACGATCGAGCCGTATATTAGTGGTAGGCTGCACATCAATGAAGGCTAATCATCTTCCTCGAATACGTACACAATCTGTTTAGCGCGCGTATCTGAAATGCTTCTGTTGGTACTAGGCCTTTCCTTCGACCCCCTAGATTCGCATCGGCGTCTTTGCCCACCCCTCTTCTCTCACAGACCAAGTTGGAAGTGCCGGCCATGAACCAATCGTCGCGGGGAGCCCGGTGTCCAGACACCATGGAGGCAAAGGTGATTGGCCATCGTTGGGAATTCCAGATGGAAGATCAGCAGTAGAGTTTGAGCTTTCCCACGGATTCATGGCAGCCACTAGGCTCCGCTCTTTGGCACAGGTATTCCCGACAATTCGCATCCAGGTCGTTTGTTGGGAGATGGGGGCTTAGAGTTCCATCCGTCGACTTTTACAGTTGTAGTTTATCTCTGGCTGGGGTAAGTAAGGGATTTATCATTTAGGGTTAAGTGGTCGTGGTCACGATGAACGACTGTTAGGAACGTTTTTCTTTTTATCTTTTTTTTCACATTTTTTATTTTTATTTTTATTTTTCTGGGTCCATTTCGAGGTCTTCCTCTCGTCACATGAGAAAATCCACCCACGGACCGGACGAAATGACATGGCATTGTCTGATACAGAGAGGTACACTTAGGGTACTGTATGATGCCGACTGATAACGAAGCCTACCCAAGGCTCTTCGCATGACTAAATCCCGCAAATCGACGAGACAAAGGAGGGTACAGTAAACTTGTTCCTGGTCCATGAAGCTGTCACAGGTCGAGTAATTCTTTGGCGCGATCGAGGGAGCTATGCGTGCCGTAGTAGTCATCGGCCCCCGCGGTCCGAGGGATCGCTAGAGCTTGGATGGATATACGTATGTATGAAGAGCAACATTTTTCTGGTCAGCTGGGGGATAACGGTTGTACTCCGTATTGGCTAACTTTGGTGTTCATTATCCTCGGAGAATATCCTTGGAGGTCAAGGGGTACGTGATAGAAAGGAGAATGACTCCGGCTGAATGCCATCAAATCAGTGGACTGACTATGAGTGGATATGCGCAAGGTATGCGGTACCTGAGTCAACCATTCAGTTCTAGTGAACAATAGAACCTTAAACTGGGGCAAAAGATAATAAAAAAAAAAGGAATGTGAATACGGATGGAAGAAAATAGGCCAATGTAAGATTTTCGTTAATATAATTCAATGTAGAAGGAATTTGTCCCTACACTCATTCCGGTATGGTCGTACTCCGGAGTAGGTACACAGTATCTATCAAGGAAACGCTTCGAGCCTCTCTCCACGCTCTCGCACCCAAGGCGCACGCACTTACACGTTCGCATCCGGAATACTCAAGCAATGTTTGCGTAGTAGGAGGTAGCCTTCAGGTTTGCTGCACTCGGTAAGTCATGCTGCAAAATCAAGATATGACAGTGTCCACTCCACGGGCCGACCTGGCCAGACATTTCGATCTATTTTAACAGCAGGTCTTTCAGGGTCGATCGACTTTCATACCCGTGCTCAGTGCTCACAATAGCGCGTCGTGTCAACTGGATTGTCGGGTCGCGCATCTGGTGTTTAACGGCTTCGATTGGACAGCAGTTTAGTTAGCGTTCTTAGTCACGACGTCGTTGGTGATTAATTACTTGCTTTCTTGGGTTTAGTTCGGCCAGTGTACTTTTACTCACTCAATCTTGTCCTGGAACGGAGTCAGACTCGATCCGTGGACCAAAAGGACGCACTGCCGCCCCCAGTGCACTCAACTGACACCATCGTTCCCTCCCAAGTCCCTATTATTCATTCATTTTCATTGTTATTGGGGAAAAGACCGTTCCGGACTTTGCATCGGTACGCTCATTTCTGGTTTCTTACAACCGCTCTCTGCCTATTCTCTTATCAGCCTCTTATAGTTTTCCTTTTCTTTTCCTTTCTTTTTTTGTTTTTTATTTTTTTTTTATTTTATAGTTTTCCTTATTCCCTATTCAGAGCTCGCCTGTCAGTTCATTTCCCTCTGAAAATATATATGAATATATATATATATTGATAATATCATTCCTTCGGCATGATTACCATCAGGTAACGGCAATACATGCTCTACTATCCCCCGTCATCAACTGCCCATAGGTACTGCCTGTACCACTGGAGAGAACTTGTTACCAGCCTTACTTACTGCCACCCCTCTCCGGCCTCCCCCCCAAAACCCAATCTAACTTTATCCTTCCCCCGAACTCTCTCACTTCTCTCCTGTCCTTTCATTGCTCCATCGCCCTTCTCCTCTTCCACCTTTACTCTTTCTTCCCACACCCCCCTGATACGATTTCTTCTTCCCACCATCGCCTTCAACCATCCTTTCATCCTCTAGCCACTCCCTCTCGTTTCCCTTTTCTTCGCATTTGCTTCATCCGTCTATTCCCGTCGTGCGATCATTATTCATCTCCTTCTCGGTTGATCGGTCTACTCGGCCCGTTGTCGCATCGCTTCTTTATTCAATATTCACGATCTGTTCGTCCTCGACTCGCCTTGGCGCATCCCAACGACGAATAAATGAATTGATTATTATCACTGTCACTGTGGATCATCTTTTCAGGTTAAATAAACTTATAATCTGTGACGCACTTGTCAGCATTAGGCATCTGTCATCTGTTGCCTCCCGTTGCCCACCTCCCCTTACCTGGAGAACCTAATCCTGCCTTTATCGCTCGTGGGATTTGTCGATCCATTTAACAACTAGGATCATCGATCCGCGAGGCATGAGTGGCAGTTCGAATCAGTCTACCCGTACGAGTCCTGGGTCCTTGAGTACCACTCATCGCACGCCGTCCGTGTCGTCGGGCGCGTCGCCTCCACATCAGTCGCTTCAATCCTCTCAGGCGCCTTTAACGGCCCAGAATGCGATGTCGACCGACGTGTACACTTCATCCACATCACAGGCGTCAACATCACTAGGTCCCACCTTCACCTATCCATTCACACCCCTCGGTCCGCCGTCGGCCTTCGATAACATGCCTTCCGCCACCATGCGCCTAAGTGACGCTGATCGGTCGGCGCAGGGCCTCAACGGCTTCATTCGACCCGGAACGGGCGGCGCGATCCTAATGCGAAAACTTCCGAAGAGCACTAGTCTCGAGCTGTTGCGCAGCATGCTTCTATTTGCCAAAGATCTTGTGGATATTGAGTTTGAACAGAATAGCCCTCCCGAAGATAACGGGTATGTGAGCGCAATCGCACGATTTGGTACGGTCGCTGCAGCCGAAGAGGCGCGGGCCTTGCTCGATGGCAAGCCGAACTCCAATAACGATGCGAACATGATCGTGGAAATGTATAATGGCCCTGTCGGCTCAGCTCTGGGGGGACCCAGGCGCAATACAATTGACCACACCGCGACGCGTAGCTTATTGGGGGGTGTTACGTCTAATGGACACTTGTCGCGGCATTCATCCCGTTTTAACGGTACTTTCCAGAGCCTGGAGAAGCTGACGGTGGCGAACGCATCCAACTCATCGGCCAGCGATGCCCTACCTCCTGAGTCAAGTTCGCGTATCCATAGCCTTTTCTCGCCCCAGTCCCCGATCGGAAATGGTGTCCATGATTTGCCACGCGTCAGTGGTAAGTCAATGATTGATCAGGACCTCGACGAAGATACGGGTGAACTTCTCAAAGATCCCGTGGGCTACGCGGAGAATGGGCACTCCGGCTCTGTTTCCATCCCCCGTCGTTCCACCAATCCCCAGTTCCCCACGAATCAGTTTGCCAACTTGTCACTGGCGACCAATTTGTCCTCGCCGCCATTACCGAATTACGCTCCTGGTGGTTCGGCCCATATGGGAATTCCTACTCCCTCGACCGCATATCCTCAGTCGATGGCCAACAACATGGGTGGGAACCACGGGCTCCCCTACGGCAATCCACATACACCTCGCCATAGTTTGCCCGCCGCAAACCCGAACGACATGAACCCACCTTGCAACACTTTGTATGTGGGCAACCTGCCACCAGACGCGTCAGAAGAAGAGCTCAAAGCTCTTTTTATGAAGCAGCGTGGATACAAACGTCTTTGCTTCCGCAACAAGCAAAACGGACCCATGTGTTTCGTGGAGTTCGAGGATGTGGGCACAGCCGGCAAGTCCTTGAATGAACTGTATGGCTACAAACTTTCCAACAGCATCAAGACCGGTATCCGCCTTAGTTTTTCGAAGAATCCCCTGGGTGTTCGTTCTGGGCAGCCGGGTTCCATGAGTGCCTCCAACAATATTGCATCGCAAGGTGCAGCTTCTGGAGGTAGCAGCCTTGGTGGCATGCACAACCATATGTTCTCCACTGTCAGCGGGCCTCCCCCGGGTCTTTCGGCCCCTCCAGGCCTAGTGCCACCACTGCAGTTGCGAAGCAACGGAGCCGTGCATACCTCTGGCCATCCCCACGCGCCAGTACCAAACAACGGCTCCTTCCAC